ATTATTATATGTGAACTCAATAAGCGGCAGATGATCATCCCAGCTACCTTTAAAGTCTATCACACAAGCTTGTAACATATCCTCCAGTGTTTGAATAGTACGCTCAGCCTGTCCGTCTGTCTGGGGATGAAATGCTGTGCTAAGACTTACTTGAGTCCCCAATCCCTTTTGGAAGGACCTCCAGAAGTTAGCTGTAAATTGAGCTCCTCTATTCGAGATAATAGATACATGGACACCATGTAGTTGTACTATCTCCTTGATATAAAGTCTTGCATAATCCTTTGAGGAATATGTAGTCCTAACGTGAAGAAAATGGGCTGACTTTGTAAGCCTATCAACAATCACTCATATCGAATCAAACTTATGCTGGGTACGAGGTAAGCCTACGATGAAGTCCATATTGATTACTTCCCATTTTCAAGTCAGAATCTCCATATCTTGCAATAACCCTCCGGGTTTTTGATGCTCAATTTTAACCTGCTGACAATTAGGACACTGAGCAACAAACTCTGCTATATCTTTTTCATTCAGTCCCACCAATACACTTTCCTGATATCATGATACATCTTTGTTGTTCCTAGATGGATAGAATATCGAGAATAGTGAGTTTCTCCCATAACCTGCTGATACAGCCCTGCAACATTAGGCACACACAATCGTCTTCGATATCTGAGGACCCCATCTTGTGTAATTCCAAACGGTGTCTTCTCCTTCTTAAGGGTGGTATCCCTATAATGAACTAACATAGGATCCTCATACTAGCGTTCCTTTACTTCAGTTACTAATGAGGATGTTGCCGTATTCTGATGAGTAATTCAAATGTCACCTGAGTCCAGTATCCAAACTCCAAGACTAGCTAGCTGATGAACAATCATGGGTTATTCCCCTCTTTTCTGGTAGTAATTATGATAGGCTACCCATGATTTACGGCTGAGGGCGTCGGCTACTACGTTCGCTTTCCCCGGATGGTATAAAATATCAACGTCATAGTCTTTAAGTAGCTCCAACCATCTCCTTTGACGAAGACTCAATTCCTTTTGCTTGAAGATATACTGGAGGCTCTTATGATTCGTATAGATATCAACATGAATGTCATACAAGTAGTGCCTCCACATCTTTAGTGCATGAATCACCGCGGCTAACTCTAAATCGTGGGTCGGGTAGTTCTTCTCGTGCTTTCTTAGTTGTCTAGAAGCATAAGCCACAACCTTACCATGCTGCATCAGCACACAACCCAATCCAATGCCTGATGCGTCACAATAGATAACGTAACCATCGGTTCCTTCTGGAAGCATTAGAACCGGTGCTGAAGTTAATATGTCCTTTAAGGCCCGGAAAACTCCGTTCGCAAGCGTCGGTCCATTGAAACCTTGTTCCTTTCTGAGTTAACTTACATGGTTATCATAATCTTGTACAATTCAAGAAATTCCTCTCTTCGGAGGCCCAAACTTCATATTTTATCCCTCACAATTGCGCCCTTATCCCACTGTTAGGGCAACATTTCATCTATTCTAAACATTACTAGTCTTAGACTCCTTCGAGTTCATTCGAGCTATATTGAGCCTTGTATAACTTAGGGAAACCATCAGCTCTCTTATAAACTTATTCCCAAGGACTCATCCATTCTTGTTACCTTTTTACTCATCTTTTCTTATCCTTCCTCCTGTCCTCCAAGAACCTTGTCGCTCTACCATACTTTAGCTTGCGACCTACACATATCTATTTATAATTATTCGCAACCTTTCTTCAACCTGCTTGCACCATAGATTTCCTTATGTTATTCCGGAACATCAAGCAAGACACCACATACCACTTTGGTCAAAGGTGCTTAGAAGAGAAGAAAATTTCGTTACAAGTTTCTTCTAATAACCTGCCAAACAGAGAAGCTACAAACCTTCATCGGTGTTGTGGGTCTAGGAAAAGTCTTCACTGCCTCAGTCTCTTGTGTATCTAATCGAATGTCTTTACCCGAAATAATATGCCCAAGGAAAGCTACAGAGTTCAACCAGAATTCATATTTAGAAAATTTTGCATACAAGTTCCCTTCTTGTAGAACTCTGAGCACAGTACGCAGATGATCTGCATGCTCAGCCTCTGAACGAGAATATACCAATATATCGTCAATAAATACAATTACGAATAGATCTAAAAAAAAGGCCTGAACACATGGTTCATTAAATCCATGAATACTGCTGGGGCATTGGTCAGACCAAATGACATAACCCAAAACTCAAAGTGCCCATATCTAGTCCTGAATGCTGTCTTCGGAATATCTTCATCCTTAACCCTTACCTGATGGTACCCGGACCTCAATTCTATCTTTGAGAAATACTTGGCACCTTGAAACTGATCAAATAAATCATCAATTCTCGGGAGCGGTTACTTATTCTTGATCATCACCTTATTCAGCTGCCTATAATCAATACACATTCGTAAGGAACCATCTTTCTTTCTTACAAACAAAACAGGTGCTCCCCACGGTGACGTACTAGATCTGATAAAACCTTTTTCAAACAAGTCCCTTAGTTGTTCCTTTAATTCTTACAGCTCTGCAGGGGCCATTGTATAGGGGGAATAGATATTGGATTAGTATCTGGTAGTAGGTCGATGGCAAACTCAATTTCTCGCTCTGGCGGAAGACCCGGAAGTTCATCGGGAAAACATCGGAAAACTCATTAACCACTGGGATGGACTGAAAGGTTGGTGACTCACTACTATAAAAAGGACCTTTAGTGGCAATAGAAAGCAACATTGGCGGCAATAACAATAGCTGCTATATCATTTACCGGCAATTGATCTTTAGCCGGTGATGCCGGGGTCGGTAAAGCCTTTAGCGGCATTTCTGCCAAAAGCTGGTAAAAGGTATGATTTATTGCCGCTAAAACTCATTTGCTTTAACGACAATTGTTTGCGGCAATTATTATGGCTGCTAAACCCATTCTAAAAACGACTAATAATGCTCCTTTAACGTCCATTTTTATAGCCGCTAAATTCAAAATATTTGTCGCTAAAAGTCCATACCTTTAGAGGTAATTGTTTTGTGGCAATTAAATTGGCAACAATATCTCTTCTAAAAACGTATTAGTATGCCCCTTTAGCGTCCATTTTAATGAATAGCAAAGTCAATTAAATTGCCGCTAAAAATCATCTTTAATAGCAATATAATGGTTACAATATCCCTGTATAAACGCCTTAATCCTGTTAAATTGGCACTAAAATTCACAAGCTATAACGGTAAGTTTAGCCACCATTAATAATAACTACTACATTCGACCAAAAAATAATGCAAATAACAAAACATATTGATATTAATTCATAAAACTATAGTATATCTCGTTAAATCTTAACGAACAAAAGGAAGCACTAATCCAAAATATTAATATCACAAAACCTTAAAAAATAACTCATATTGTTTGAAGTAAATAGCTAATGTCACTATATAACCAATCTTAACGAATAACAATCTTCAAATAATATCTGAAACTCTTCGTCATATTGAAATCTTCCACTCGCTAAATTATCGAACATCAGACTGTATGACCTGAAATTATAAAATAACTATGTCAATAGGAAGTAAATGTTGCCAAACAACAACGCTAATAATAATTTGTGAGGTTATGAAACTAAAAGTCCATAACCAGAAAGGACACAAACAAATATCTTTTAGTAACGTAGGCCCACGAACCTTTCTTGGCTCCAAATTACCTAGAATATAAGATTCAAAGGTCATCAAATGGAAAAAACTTATATGGTTAAATCTGTTCCAAAGAACCTCTGGCCAGTGGCAATTTAGCAAGGGACAACCATGCTCGACCAAATGTTTCAAAGAAAAATCTGGTGGAGGAGCTTACGGGCAAACATGCTCACAACTCTAATGTTTCAACACTGAGTGTGTGCATAAAATCTAAGGAACTGTGGCATATTATGCTGCATTCTCAGTGTTCCAGTCCTATATGGAGGGTAAGGAACTCAGCTGTGATACAAAACAATCAAGCATGCAGGAAGAACAACAGTTGTAATAACCAAATACTGCCCAACTCTGCACGCACAAGGCAGTTCTTTCTAAGGGAAGTCACAGGACACACAGGTTGGATAAAATGTAGCTACTGGGCATCAACAACAGAAGAGATACATATAGAAGCAGCAATACAAAGGACATCACACCGTTGGGTAAGGATTGAGATACAAATCAGGACACAACAGACCAAAGATGCGAATTACTTCAGTTATGCATACAGCCCCTTCATTTAATTTAATGCTGGAATTGGGAAAAGGCTGAATCCTACAGCCCATTCATTTAGTCCTACATCAAAGGGTAATAATGCAGAAAACAAGGGCTTGAGCATGAGGGTCGGGCCAACATCACTGATCAAGCAGCCGTGAATTAGAGGACTTGATGCTGGTATCCCACTCGAAAGTAGATAAAGCGGGCAAAAGGGTGAGTGACTTGGAGTTATTGCTCGAAACAGAGAAATATAGGATTCAGGAGCTTGAAGAACAAATAAGCACATTAGAGAAAAATGTGTGGCGACAGAAGCAGAATCTAAGAAGCACGCTGATAGGGCGTCCGAACTTGAAGCAGAAGTGGAGGCATTCAAAATGAAATCATCAAGCCTTGAGGTTGCTCTGGAGGAGACCAAGGAGAAAGAAAAGGAATTGAGTCAATGCCTGAACAATGTGACAGAGGAGAAGAAAAACTTAGAGGATGTATACACGAATTCAGTTGAAAAACTAGCTGAAACAGAAAACCTGCTTGAGGTCCTGCGTAATGAATTGAATGCCACTCAACAGAGACTGGAAGGTATTGAGAACGATCTTAACGCTGCTGGGGTGAAAGAGAGTGAGGTGATGGAAAAGCTCAAATCAGTAGAAGAGCAGCTAGAGCAACAAGGAAGAGTTTTGGAGCAAGCAATAGCTAGAAGCATAGCAGCTTGAGTCACTGCATGATACACTAAAAAGGGATTCCGAGCTCAAACTCCAAGAGGCAACCGGCAAATTTGTTACCAGAGATACGAAGGCACAAACATTGAATGAGAAACTGAAGGCTCTTGAAGATCAGCTAAATAGTTATGAGGAGCAGATTGCTAAATCTACTGAAAGTTTTTCAGCTGTTAAGGAAGAACTGGATCAGGTGTTGGTGAAGCTGGTTTCTACTGAAACTGACAGTCAGTGCGGCAAGTTGCTTCCTTTGCATTCTTGTATGCACCACTCCAGGTCAAGATTGCTGCATAAAACCATATAATTGCTATAGAGAAGAGCATTGCAAACCGGTCATATATCGGCCTCTTTAATTTGAGATATGTTGGTAGATACTGCAAGAAATTTAGTACATTCAGGTAATCAATTCGAGTAGGAAGAGGATATATGATGTGAATAACTACTATCACGACATGAGCAAGCTTTATGTTAGAATTTTTTTCTTTAACCCTTATGCTCAATGCACAAAAATGCTACAGTGTATCCTGGATCTTCTGATCGGCAAATTATTTTAGCAAGTTCATATATTTACCTTTACTCAACAGGCTATACCATTTCAAAATCACTTGATCAATATCACTGCTTTAGTAAAGAGAATACGCTACGGTATCCTCTTCAACAACTCCATGAAAGAGAACAATGTACTCATAAAAAAGCATATAAATCCAAACTTAAATTCATTATAGTGAATGGAATTACTTGCCTGTGTGATGAAAACCATGAAAATCAACTGTGGTAACCCAACTTCGACACATTCTGCAATCTACAAAATAAAGAATACAAAAAGTTTAATTAGCGAACATGTTTTCAGCAATCTGATGTTCTCATCTTTCCAGAGAGCATATTTTTAATCAAAAGCATATATTATACGAGAAGTCTAGGATTAAAATTCTCACCAATGGGAAGCCAAGATGGTAGAGCCCTAGTCCAGTCAAAGTAACAAGTGGTGCCACAAATAGAGGGCTAAGTAACCTAAATTATACAAGAAATGCAGAAGTTATACAGAAAATGAAGTTGATGACCTAAAGTTGAATATTCCACATGCTCAAGACTGAAAAAACAAGAACTTCAGATTACACACACCTTACAAGATTTCTCCACAGGCCAAAGAAGCCCATTATAATTTGGAAACCAGAAGTAACAATAAGAGCTCCCTGTATGCCTCTCATTGTATGCATAAACCCCTGCAAATATCAGTCGCAAGAACAAATTCAAGAAACATCAGCTGAATGGACAACCTCCCCCCCTCCCCACCCAAAAAAAGAAAACAACTCAAAGTCCCAACAGAGGCAGATGAACCAATATTTTTGACACGGAGCATTTCAACAAATATTCAATTCTGATCATCATAATTCCATAGTCTATGTTGCAGACTTTCCAAAATGCTACCGCACCCGTGTCGGTGTCGGATCCTCCAAAAATACACTACTTTTGGAGGATTCGACATGCACCTAACGACATTTTCGGAGAGTCCGAACAATATAGTCCAGAGTACAATGTGTTCAGTGTGAATAACCTTAAAGATTGAACACATCAAGTTTAAATCTTGGATCCGCCTCTGGTCCCACACCCCTCCTGTCACACCTCCTTTTTTCCCGAGGGATGATAGGAAAGAAAAGGAGTTTTTCCAATTTAAGTGACATTATTTGAAAAGGGATTAATTTATTTTAATTTAAAGAGTCGCCACTTGGAATTGAGTTTTGGTGTCCCAAGTCACCATTTATTTTAAAATCCCAATTCAAGGAAATTGACTCTGATTAAATCTGCGAAACACAGAAGACCGAGTAAGGAATTCTGTTAACCCAGGAGAAGGTGTTAGGCACTCCCGAGTTCCATGGTTTTAGCACGGTCGCTTAAAAATTTATACTTGGCTTAAATTATTTAATTACGTGTTTTTAAACCTATGTGCATTCACCCTTTTTACCGCTTTTAATTGCTTAAATTATTCATAATTAAAGAATTGAGTTATGCGTACGTATACTCTTTTCTTTTGGCGCGTCAAAATCATGTCGCGCGAACGTGTCCACGATTAATAACGCTTTTGTTGATTTATTAAGAAAGTTTGGTTGAAGTTGCGCGAACGCATCCCTCGAGTCCCGTGGTTCTATCACGGTCGCTTTTATTGACTAATGTTCGGCTTAAATCAATCTTGACTATTCTTGTACTTTATTGCTTATGGCTTGTCTATTATCACTTCACTTAATTTATTATATTTTTTATTAATTATTTTGACCTAGATGTGGAATGCATACGAGGTACTTCTTAGAAATTAAATGTTAAACATGGTTATAACATATCTATTTTAAATCTAAAGGCATCGAGACGCAGAATACGCACACGATTNTAAGAGCTCCCTGTATGCCTCTCATTGTATGCATAAACCCCTGCAAATATCAGTCGCAAGAACAAATTCAAGAAACATCAGCTGAATGGACAACCTCCCCCCCTCCCCACCCAAAAAAAGAAAACAACTCAAAGTCCCAACAGAGGCAGATGAACAATATTTTTGACACGGAGCATTTCAACAAATATTCAATTCTGATCATCATAATTCCATAGTCTATGTTGCAGACTTTCCAAAATGCTACCGCACCCGTGTCGGTGTCGGATCCTCCAAAAATGCACTACGTTTGGAGGATTCGACATGCACCTAACGGCATTTTTGGAGAGTCCGAACAATATAGTCCAGAGTACAATGTGTTCAGTGTGAATAACCTTAAAAATTGAACACATCAAGTTTAAATCTTGGATCCGCCTCTGGTCTCACACCCCTCCTACCCGAAAAGAGAGAGAGAAATAGATAAAAATGTTATACTACCAGCTCAGGATCCTGAAGAACTGAGGAACTATTAAACTGGATAATTGAGGTAATTGGTATCAAGTATGCATATGAACCACCTATTACCAATGGCAATCTGGTCCCGAATAAAGATTGTAGTAATGTATTCACTCCTGAAATAAAGAGCATTGTCTGTACTACTTTTGCCGTCTCATCCTACAATTTAAGATCACTGTCTCAAAATCAATTGAATCAATAAAAGGATAATAGACAATATCAATTAGCTAGTTTCAGCAGTCCAAAAAACAAAAACAAAAAAATAGTCATAATGTTAAGGAATTGAAGGAAATTCTTACATTGCCACCTCCCATTTGAGGAACTAGGATGCTAGGAATTAAGACAATATTACCAAGACTCAATATGTAATGTTGAAACCCTAAGAATAATGCTTCTGCTGCATTTATCATAAAATAATCATAGTATCAGTTCAATATCTTTTTTCGACGAAATTAACAACAATTGACAATATGGTCTTGTCTAAATAATGTCACGTACACAAAGGTGGTGGGTTGTTAACACAGTATTGTACATTCTTAAGTTGCTCCATAATTGGATGAGGATGTAATTCCTCTGCTTTTTTAGCTCCATTCTCACCACCTCCACTAGACATAGTTGAAATTTAGAGATTGTTTGCTTTTAGAGAATGTTCAAATTGGCGCTAAATATTTCTTTGCTTGACATTTTCCTTTACCAAAACTATGACTGTGAGATTTATATTGAGAGTCCAAGGTTTGTTATTTATGAATAGTAAAGGGAAAACGAGTTCCGAGCTGACGAGGCCAAGCAATAGCAGCATTGCACTTTCTGTATTTTATGTCAAACTATTGACTATGGAGGATTTGAAATCGATATGCATCGACGACAATAAAATTTTTTGAACAATGACAAGAATAACAGAAAATATACAAAGGAACAAATGCAGTTGACTACTGTCATAGTAGAGGTGTATTCTACAGAGACGTCAAGGTAAGAAAATATAAAGATTTGACACCACTATTTATCGACGACAATGAAAATTACACACAACATCTCGACTAGTGGTAGATTCAATGCATCGACGACGCTTAGAAATTTATGAATAATCACAAGAATAGCAGAAAAACAGTCGGATATCACAAACAACTGGCATATGCAGAAAAAACTGAACTTTCGCAAATCTCAAATCCCAACAGTTGAAGGCACAAATTTGTACCTGGTAAGCAGATTGTTTTGCCAATAAATACAAGAAATTGAAGGAGAAGAATGAGTTCTGAAACAATCTCGAAACCTACACGAAAAGAGAAGTGAGAAACGGATAAAATAGAGAATACTAACAACGACGATAGAGCATAATCGAGCAGCACAATCCAAAACTCAACTGTTAATCGCATCGGCTGGGTAAAAAGAGAAGATACCTGGGAAAGAATTACAGTTATCTGGGGAAAAGGCTGGCCGGAGACCTATATATATGTGCGATTTTGTTAATAGATCGTCTCTTCCGTATCCAGTTCAATGAAGGAATAGGTTTTCGTAATATTTTGATTCGAGTCGATGAAGGAATAGGTTTCAGATGATTTTCTGATTGGAGGGAATCTTCGATCTTGTCCTAAAAATAGGGAGGGAAAGATTAATTACTTGGGCAGGGAGGGAAATTTTTTTTTTAAAAAAAAAAAAAGAAAAACCCTATGCGCTGAAAGTCAGTAATTTCTAATGGTAATTTATTTTTATTGCCGATAAAAGGTTATTTTTTAGTGGCTAATGGTCATTTGCCGCATATATTTCAACTTATAGAATATATTAGCGGCAATTGACTTATTGACGTTAAATAATTGCCGCCAAATGACCTTTTTGCAGTAGTGATGTCACACCATCCATCGTTGGGAAGAGCCACCCGGTTCACACATAATCCACCTTTGGAAAGAACCGTGGCACTAAGAAAACCAAAGGCTTATTGTTCACTCACAACGTAAAAAGAAGCTAGCAAATTAAAAAGAAGCTACTAGAGTAAATAAGAAGTTATACTACTAAAGAAAAGCAACTAAAGAAGCTATGAAATAAACTACAGAAAGCGAGATAAAATAATATATAAATCGAAGTCAAATGAATATATACATAAGGAAAATGAATATTTACATCAAATGGAGAAAACTTTATACATACCGAAGGAAAATAAAGATGAAATAAAAATAGTATTAGAGTTATTACAACCCAAATGTCAAATAATCATAATAGACCACCCTCAAATGAAAAATAAGCATTGTCCCCAATGCTTAACAAAAATAAGAACAGGGAAAGGGTAGAGAGTTAAGAGAACTCCCTATGTGGTCTCAGTCTGCATGGGATCCTCAGCAACCTCCACCTCAACCTGTATCTCATCATCACCAGGCTGAGAGTCAACTGGGTTGCTGAGCATCTGGATCATCTCCTCAGCAGTGTGGGAAGTGGCAACCAGCTCCTCAGACTGTCCGGTTGCCGCCTCTGGTGCTGCATGTGCTGCTGGAATAGTGGACTCCATGAGTAGGTCCAATGGAAGTTCTCATGCAGATGCAATCTTGGCGACCTCCTTTGTCAACCTGTCTACTGACCTCTTTGATGCTTGAGACTTCTTTATCTTTTTGACCTGTTTGCTCAAGGCTGCAATGACCTTCCCATGCGCCACTAGAGTATCCTTAATAGTCTTATAGTTTTCCAAAATCTTCTTCAATGCTTCCACTGACAAAGGTATCTATGGCTATGCTGGGGCTGAGAACTGTGCTGCAACAGCACTAGAAATATCAGTCAGCTTTGTAGTAGCTGCCTGCATCCAGTTGTTGAGACTCGCCAAAGTCTGGGAGACTCGTAGCGCAGTCTGAGGATAGGTAGATGAAGCTGGCACTGGCAATGGAACTGATAGTATAGTAGAAGCAGGGAGTCCAGTAGATGATGAGGTGGCATGGCTGCTGTCCCTGTGGAAGTACCTGCTGTTGTAGAAGGCTCGGCAGCTGAATTAGTGACCACTACCGTTGGCTCCTCAGACTGGCCAGTGGCAGTAGTAACTTTGCCTTTGAATTTAGGGTTGTCAGCTCCCTGAAGGTGGTACCAGGAGAAAGGCTTTTTTGCCTTCACATCTGTGTCATAATGCTTCAACTCCACCCCTTGATCCTTGAAGTATTCAGTGAGGAAGTTCGGGTACGGATAGGATCTCTCACCCTTCTGGACTGCTAGAGTGATGTTGGTGGACATGATGGCACCAACATTTATCGGATACACAGCCATAATCGAGGCCACCAAAACTTCACGGGGAATTGGGAGCATGTTTTCATTGAGGCATGGGTCAATGCGGCTACACACAAACGTTTGCCACCCTTTTGTTTCAAAGTTTAGGGTGGCCCGGAAAATTGAACTCCAGCTGTGAGCCACAGAGGTGTTGACCCTGGAATTGCCAGAATCTCAGCCCACCACGGACGAGCTGCATCACCCATATCTAGCTTCTCCAAATACTGCACTACTTTCACTTATAACCCTACATACGTATTTAGTGCACAGAAGTCAAAGCGGATTTTCAGATTCCGCACTTTTGTCACCTTGGTTCCCTGTTTGATGTGAGCAACATTTGCGTAGAACTTCTTGACTAGGTACTCATTTGTATCTAGCACTTTGTTGGTGAACCAGCTCCAACCTTTTTGCCCTTGGAATTGCCTGAGGACATTGGGGTTGTGTTTGTTCAAGTCTTTCATTAAAAACTTTTGCTCAAGAGTGAACGACCTCTGTGGCCACCATTCCGGAACTTTGCAAAGGCATTGGCAATAACGAACCTGTCCTCCCATATCTCCGGCCTCCTTGATCTTTCTAACCCCGGCACTGCAGTATCTCCCCCTCTCCCATCATCTAGAACATCATCATCATCTAAGTTTATTGGAGCAGGGGGAGCCCATGTGGAAGAGGGCTCAGAGTCTTGGCTGCCCTCTCCCGAACCTCTATGGCCACCATTCCGGCTGTGCTTGCATGGAGTTACCCTCAGAAGCTTCCCCGGATGGGACATACTCACTGGTTTTCGAGGTATCAGAGGCTCTATTTGCTGTTGCTTTCTTGCTTATAACCCTTTGAAGTGCAAGAGGTAGGCTGCTTTTACCTCGACCCCGGCCTCGGGAGGGTTTTGGCCTCCCTTTTGATAGATCACGTTTACCACGTGAGCGAACCATTGTCCGCAACACATAAGAACAAGAATCAGTGACAATTGAAGGTTATAATGTATACAGAGGCACAAAAATACAGGATGGAAAGTTGCAGTAAAAGTGTCTCAGAAGGGCAGTGCGGATCACACAAAAATGAGTGCGGCCGTAGACTGCCCATTGCAGACCGCACAAAAATGACTGCGGCCGTAGAATATCCATTATGGACCGCGTAAAAAAATGTGTGGCGGCAGAGCTCTAGGTTCAGACTACTGGGGTCTCTGAAGTTCCTTCATTGCGGACCGCACAAAAATGAGTGCGGCCACACCAGGCCATTGCAGACTGCACAATAATATGTGCGGCCACATAAGTGAAGCTCAACTTTTGCCTAACTTAGAGGACTGTGGACCATACAAAAATAAGTGCGGTCGCATAGCCTCCACTACGAGCCGCACAAAAATGTGTGCGGCTGCACAATTCAAATTTAACGGGCACTGAAACTAGGGTTCATGCAATTTTGGTCTCAAATGATCATGATTTTAGCAATCAAACAACTTTAGCTACTTACCCAGACCCCAATTAACGATCAATAAGCTGCCCACATGATTATAAGCAAAAACAACTAAACATTGACAATTTTAGGCATGTAAGTAACCCTAAATCTAAGAACAAAACAAACAAACGATGAAGAATCTAATGAGGAGATTAACGTATCAGTAATGAAGATGCAAGTGATGAAGTGAGGGAAAAATTTGAGAGCAAATGGGAATTTTTACTGTGCAAGCTTGGCTTTAGGTCTCAGAGGTGCGAAAAGTGAAAAAAGAAGAGAGAAATCCTATTTATACTTTTACTCGTGGGACCCCGTCTTTTACATGAGTGCGGCCGCATACTTTTGATGTGGACTGCACTCTTTACCTGCCCTTGAGTGACTGACTGCGGACCGTACAAAAATGAGTGCGGCCGCAGCATCAGTGCGGTCCGCATAAAAATGTGTGCGGCCGCATTTCCTTAAGCGTTTTTGACAGACCAACTTCAGAGACCATGCATTTTGACACTTAGCCAAATTTTTCATGCACAGTTCTTGCAATGCACACCTATTCCTGCATACACTTCAAAACTGATTAGCACAAAACCAAACCTTTATAAAAGAAAGAAAATAAAAGAAAGAAAAAGACATGGGTTGCCTTCCAAGAAGCGCCTGATTTTAACGTTGCGGCACGACGCAGATTACCAATCACTTGAAATGAAGGACCGCCACAATGTGGCCATCATCAACCTTGCCCAGATAATGCTTAACCCGGTGTCCATTGACTCCAAACACCTCATTGTTCTTATTTTTCGAATCTAGAGCACCAAAAGGGGTTACATTCACTACTTCAAAGAGGCCACTCCATTTTGATTTTAGCTTGCCTGGGAACATTCTTAACCTAGAACTGAACAATAGCACTAAATCACCTTTTTTGAATTCCTTGTTATGGAT